TATAATTCTTCGTTCCTAAATATAAAACAACTATACTAGTATGTATAAGACTCTTATATTCAGGACTAGAGAAGAGTTCACCCAAAAAAAAAGCTCTATATACAAAGAAAAGAAATTTTAGAAGAGAAAAATAGCGTGCCTTACACCCTTACCCTTATTTTATATGGAGCTTTTCTAAATAAAAAAAAAAGAGTCATTAATCTGATCAAATTAATTAAATAAGTCTTATATTAAATACTGAAGGAGTATTACTTCATGTTCCTAACAAAAGACATAATTGATTAATCTAGGAAGATTAAAAAAATTACTTATTTGTTATAAGAGGTGTTGTTTTTCCTAAAATGCCCTTACTAATAATATATATTAGTTAAAATTACCATTTGATGAAACATTTAACATGTACAATTAAGACTACTCAAAAAAAATGAAAGATAAAATAAATTGAGATTTATATTGAAGATTAAATTAAAAGTCAAACAAATTTTTATAATAAGAGAGGGAGGTAGTAATTTATAAATAATTTTTGTACGTGAAAAAAGTTTTACATGTAAATATACTTATTATAAGTATTTATAATAAAATAATAAAGCCAATCTACACCAACACTGGAAGGTGGGAAACGTGAAAGACAGACGTGTTAAGAAGACGGACAGGTACAGAATAAACGTCAACAAAAGAAAGCGCTGTGGGCCATATCAAGGCTTCTTTCCTCATTCGCTTTTTGTTTTCATCATCCTCACAAGATTCTTCTCTTCCTTTTCCATGTAGTCAATATAGGATATGATGATCTGAGAATTTGAACACTGGAAGCAACAATTATATTAGGATACCTTTATATCTTAGGATGACATTTTTTTTTTTAAAAAAAAAAAGAAATAAGTTTCACTGAATACCCTGATTAATTACCATTCTAACACTGTAGCTTAACTCAATATATTTTTATGATATTATGACGATTACCCCAGCGTGATCTTTTACTTCATCCAAATTCTCAACGTGATATGAACCGACATTTTTATCATATCTATCTTCGCTTATCAATATAAAAATTAGATAAGTAATTTATTAATACTAAAAAAATTATTTAAGTTAGTTATTTGTGATAAATATGTATTATTTTTTTAAAATATACCTCCCAGTCATGTGCATTATGACCGTCCTTGATAAAAACTCAGTTACTATGTGTAATAAATGTGAATATTTTGAGGAAAAAAATTATCAAGTAAACCTATTGTCTCGCTCTTAAATATATATACATATATATAGTAAAATTGCTAGAAATATAAGAGATATTGTTACGTAAAATTGGATTGTTACCTTTAATTATATATATTTTTCAGATAAGTATATGTAGATTGGCTCGCTCATTTAATACACCATGAATAACCATAAGGTGTGAGTAATATTTTTAAAAAGATATTTAATATAATTAAGGCTCACTCAAAAAAAATTGAACAGTTTAATAGAAACGGACAACTTGGGCGCGTGTGCGGCTCCCAGGTATCTTTCTTAAGCCATACTCTTGTAATTGACACGAAGCGTCGAGTAAGAGAGAGGACATAAAGCATAAATTATTCCGAACAATGACGCGTAGGGGGGTTTTACAAAAAGGATTAGATAAACAACGAAAGGAATAAAAGGATGGACACGTCCGTAGATTATCCATGTGGGGGTTAATTAGTGGCGTTTTTAGTTGTCTTCTTTGTCTTACGAGGTGGACATCCTTGTAGTTTAAGGTTGCTTAATCTTATAATTAAGTTATTGATCGTATTCAAACAGACGCATCGTGCCGTCGTGGTTAATTAAGTCCTTCTTTATTTTATCACGTCCACCTCACAACATCACTGCTTGTAACGTGAATTCGATCAGTTTAATTATATCCCTTCTCATTATCTTTATTGCCATTTTAATATTTAATTTCCCTTTCTCGTTAAAAAAAAAAATGGTATTCAGCTACGAGATTTAGCACAATCGACACTTAACTAAATTCTTTAAACATTTAGTTAGGAATTCGATCCCGTGTAAAGAGAGTTTCGCGATTGGCACTAAAATCTATTTGAGAAACTTACAGTACAAAAGAATTAGTTATTTGTTCGTGAGTTTCTTTTTACCTATTTTTACTGTAAAATTATAATTGATTTGATTTCATATATTTGCGAAATGTGGTGTACTCTGACTATGTTATCATACAAGTAATTGATAATGCAAGCAATCAGTTGTAGTTATGTTAGGCGTTAATATTCATGTTAATGCAAGTTATTTATGGAAAAAGCCCCCTACAATATAATTTAACTTTTTTTGCTCAAGATTAATACAGTTCTTTTTATTCTGAAAGTATAAAGGAAAGAGTTATAAATATCCAAGAATCTTTTTTAACCCAGATGTATTAAATAATAATCAGCACTAAAGAGTGGGTTGAGATGTGTAGACGATGATTATGGGTTAACTAAAAGCATTCGATGATTTATGGTAACTTTTAATTTTTGTAATGACATGGTAACTTTTAACTTTGATCCTCAAAAACATGAAATTACTTCTTTTATAGCAGGTTTTAATGTATCTTTCTATATTCATTTTCACTTCCAATTTGACCAATATGTCGATGTAGTTATTTTGATTAATTATCTTGGCTAATTTTCATCTCATATTACACTAACTTATATTTTAAGTCTGAGCTTTTTTCCCGTTTACGAATTAAGATGGGCTATTCAATCAAACAATTTCAAGTGAAAATTGAAGTTATTATTGCCAGGAGAAGATCACCATTGCGGTGTGAAATTGTTAAAAAGAAACTTCAAGCTTTTGTTAATTGTCTTTCTCTTTTACGAATCAATCAATTTCCTATCATCATTGTCATCGCCGTCTGGGTGTAAAACTTAAAAGGAAGGGCATTGAATGCTACATTCAGCTTGTTTCAATGATTATGTTATTATCCTCACTGAAAAAGAATGATTACTGCTGAAGCATCGAGAGATAGTATATGTTTATCTATTAATATTAGCTTAACTGGTAAAGCCAGTTAACTAATTTGAATAAATTAAAAAGTTTGTTCAATTAATTATTTATAATAAATAAGTATTATTTTTTCTAGAATACTTTTACTGATCACATGTATTAGCTAAAATTACTATTTAATAAAATTTTTAATATGTACAACTATTATGATGACTACTTTAAAAATATATAAATATGAGAGATAAATATATTATGATATTATATTTAAGATTAAATTAAAATCAAGCTAACTTTTATATTAAATATCAGAAATGATACATATATTGCCACAGAACATACATACGCGTAATTATCTATTTGTGGAATAATAAAGCAATAAACCCCATAAGGGGATGCCACGCGGGAACAAGCACTTTCATCCGCGGCTCCCACTGGATTTATATGTAGTTTATTGATATTAATTAATTGATTACCGACATGATATTGACGATGATGAGGAGTGTTGTATTGGCAACATGTTGGAATATTTTAGCGTTTTAATTACTTGAAATATATTTAAATCGATACTTATAATCAGATATCCTTATTCATCCTTTATATTTTTTTTTTCAGTATTAAAACATCCAGCTAGTGTGGCTTTTGATTTCGGGAAGGAAATTTGCCTATAAATAACATGCTCAATGATGATTAAATATCACCTCATTTTAAAACTGACACAGGAGAAATTCTCTAATAAGAGGTAAACTCTTTTTATACTCTATAGCTAGTGATAAAAAAAACATTCTGACAATTTTTTTTCAATAAAATAAAAATATTAAATGAAGATAAAATAAACTAAATAAGAAAACATTTAATAATAAAATAAAAATTTCTTCTAATAAAATCTATGATGTTCCTATAGACATATTTATATATTTTTAGTAACCAAAGAAAAAATAAAAAAAGAAATCATTTAAAATTGATGCCCATCAAGAACACTAGCTGAATTTAAGGGAGTGTTTGGAAGCACCCAAAAGCACTTCTTGAAAGTATTTTTTAGTAAAACAAGAGAAATTCCTTCATATATTTATTCATATACAGTAAAAATATTTTTAAAATTATAATTTAATTTCTATCCAAACACTTTTTAAATTTCGAGTTTCCAACTCTTTTTTTTTTTTATGGGTTAGACTGCCCTGACCCGACCAAAATGCGGGCCAATGACAGCCCCATATTCCTAGTTATCCAATTAAGACACACTTTTTTGGCCCCAAAAATTTTATAAACCGAATCCGTCTCTGGGCTAACTCCTGCCGTAGCGTCCCTCTCCCTTATTTTTCTCCATCCTCATCGTAAGGTGCAAAATTAAACAACTTATATTTAATGTTTGAAAAATTATCATATCAAATTTAAACAATTCAAATTCATTTGTTTTTTTTTTAAAATATTACTAGATACTTTAATTTCCCTGCAAAGCTGTTTAATCATCAATTCATCATTCTTCTTTATATATATATATATATATATATTTTGTTTTTAGGAAAATCATCACGGGATCAGTTGGCAAAAAAAAAAGGGGATCCGAATTGGACTTGAAAAAATCACGCAACGAGAGTGGCATGCGATGGTTTGGAAAAAATACCCCAATTCCAACGTACCAAACGGGCATAAGAATAGGATGCAATGGTGCATTTTTGAAATTACACACTTATCAATTTATCATAAGATTTTTAGGTTTTATACTACTTCCGGTCCTCATTTGACTTTTATTTTGATTTTAGATATAAGATTCCAATTCATTTTGTCTTTAAATTTATACATTTTTTTTCAAGATAATCCTTCTACGATAGTATTTCTAGTCAATATATTTAATTAGTAATGATATTTTAAGAAAAATAATACCTGTTTATAACAAATAACTAACTTAACTTTTTTTTAATCTCCGTAAATTAATTAACTAGTTCTTATAATGAGGATATTTATGAAGACCTCGCGGGTGATTTTTCATTTTTCCGCGCGCGCGTGAGGTGTCACCACGCCCGCACTAGTAAAATCGGCGACCTCGAGTGAAAAACAACAGGAGGTCCTAAACCCTAAAACCCTCCCAAGTTCGGAACTTTCACTCCCACCACCGTCACCATGGCGGAGCTGAAGCTCTCTGAAAGCCGTGATCTCACGCGAATAGAGCGCATAGGTGCTCATTCACACATCCGTGGACTTGGCCTGGACTCTGCCCTGGAACCTCGCGACGTATCCGAAGGCATGGTGGGTCAGACAGCGGCCCGCAAAGCTGCCGGCGTTATTCTTCAGATGATCAAAGAGGGTAAAATTGCAGGAAGGGCGGTACTTCTTGCCGGTCAGCCTGGTACTGGCAAGACCGCCATTGCCATGGGCATGGCCAAGTCCTTGGGCCTTGAAACCCCTTTTGCCATGATTGCCGGAAGTGAGCTTTTCTCCCTCGAGATGTCGAAAACTGAAGCACTAATGCAGGCGTTTCGCAAAGCAATTGGTGTGCGGATTAAGGAAGAGACAGAGGTGATTGAAGGTGAGGTCGTTGAGGTCCAAATTGACAGGCCGGCGGCGGCTGGTGCTGCGTCGAAGACTGGGAAGTTGACACTGAAGACGACGGAGATGGAGACGGTGTATGACTTGGGAGCCAAGATGATCGAGGCACTGGGGAAGGAGAAGGTGAGTAGTGGCGATGTGATTGCTATAGACAAGGCTTCTGGCAAGATCACGAAGCTTGGGAGGTCGTTTTCCAGGTCGAGGGATTTCGATGCCACCGGACCACAGGTTAAGTTTGTGCAATGCCCCGATGGGGAGTTGCAGAAGCGGAAGGAGGTTGTACATTGCGTCACTCTCCATGAAATTGATGTTATAAACAGCAGGTAATTAGGTTTATCTTGCTTGATTATTAACATCGGTGTCTTCTGTTCCTGTTATTGAGAATCAACTTATTGTAAGGTCATACTGTAGCGTAGTATAGTCTTTAGGTTTGGCCGGGATTCGAATTGGTTCTCTAAATCTTGTGTATTTTCTATTAATGGCAGTTTATCACTGGCAAAACCTAAAATGGTCTTCCTGATTGACCAACAAGCTGTTGGGGCATGATTTTCCTTAGTCCCTGAAAACCCTGAATATTTTTAGTCTTTAAATTAGCGAGTCCTGGAATCTGGGATGCCCTTGTGAAATTTTGTAACCTGTACCTGTTAAAGGAGGCAGTTTGTTGGGTGCTAAGAGTGGTGCTGCTTGGCCTGTCTTTTATTTAACACTAACATACGTATGAAAGATGAAAAACCCTAGCAATAAATTTGCGGTTGAGGTATGTCTAAAGCTCCACAGTGTCTACACGAACTTGTATCAAATGCACAATTTGATAGAGGGTAAAAGCTGAGCAAGTTTGAACTCTGTTGTAGGTCTCAGCAATTTGTATGTATATCGCCAATTTAAATTTGATCTTCTCTTAATTTTAACAAGATTTGGTAGGAACATGGGAGGGACCTGGTGGAGGTGCCACCGTGCCCAGGTTGAAAAATGAAATGGTACAGAAGTTGAATGTAAACTGACAAATGCCTCAGGGACTAGGTTGGCGTGGCTTTTTGGCTGTCATTTATTTAGCTTGTGAGTAACATGTCCACTATTCTGAGAATCTTATATAGCAAAATTGGTTTGGCCAAATATATATATATATATATAGAGTCAAAACTGGTAATTGGCACATTAACACGACTGATAATAAGAGTGTTAATTTAGAATTACTGGGTCTTTTGCACTTAATGATTTATGCTTTGATATGATTTAATGCGCTTGTTCTCCATTATGTCATTATCAATTTCTTTTTTCCAGACAACGATGTCCCAAGTTTCCTTAAGGCGTGCATTGACTGTTTTGAAACTCCATTGATGAGCTGATCATGGTCTCTCTTGTTGCTTCTCGCTGTTATCTAATTTAATTCCTTCAATTTCAGAACACAGGGATTTCTGGCTCTCTTCACTGGTGATACAGGCGAAATTCGTGCAGAAGTAAGAGAACAAATTGACACAAAAGTTGCAGAGTGGAGAGAAGAAGGGAAGGCAGAAATTGTGCCGGGTGTTCTTTTCATCGATGAGGTGCACATGCTTGACATTGAGTGCTTTTCCTTCCTCAACCGGGCTCTTGAGAACGAGATGGCTCCCATATTAGTTGTTGCTACCAACAGAGGCATCACAACCATCAGAGGCACAAATTACAAATCCCCACATGGTATTCCAATTGATCTACTCGATCGCCTACTCATAATCTCCACTCAACCTTATACCGAGGATGAAATTCGCAAGATTCTCGATATTAGAACCCAAGAGGAAGAAGTGGAAATGTCAGAGGGTGCAAAGCAATTGTTAACCAAAATAGGCGTTGAAACATCCTTGAGATATGCTATCCATCTCATTACAGGAGCTGCATTAGCATGCCAAAAGCGAAAAGGGAAGGTAGTTGATTTGGAGGATATAAATAGGGTTTACCATCTGTTCTTGGATGTCAAAAGATCAACACAGTACTTGATGGAGTATCAGAGCCAGTACATGTTCAATGAAACTGGAGAAGGTGATGAAGATGATGGCAATGACATGGTTTCCTAAACTTTCCTCTAGTTGGTCGTTTGTCTGCTGCATCATGCTGGCTCCACCAAGCTCGTTTGCATTAGTCATCCAAGGAGGACAGATTAATTGTTCATGTTGTGAATTGCTCTTCTTCCCCTGCTTTACTTTCATTGCTGTTGAAGCTGTACTAATTCTATGACTTCTAATTATTGATGTCCTTTTTAATAGAATCATGCTGTGCTTATAAATTGAAGTATGCAATTTTTTTTTCCTAAGTTTTATTATTTCTATGAATCTCTTAAAAAATTACTACTTTCTCTAATTTTTGCATTACTATTTACTGATGGTTCAAAATTTGTTGACGTCAATCTTTTCTTTTGTCAATCATTGCTGCCAGCTAATCGCCCGCAATTTTTTCAAACCGATGGGACGCATGACTCTGTCTCCGGGTCTTGAGACTTATTTTTTTAATTAGTATCAAGGTTTTGTTTAATTTTTATTTTGATCGTAAATATAAGATTATAATATATTTTGTTTTAAATATTTGTATATTTTTTTTAAGATAATTTTTCTAATAATAGTAATTCTAATTAACATATTTGATGAGTAAGGATATTTTAGAAAAGACAACACCTATTTATTACAAATAAACAAAACATATTTATTACAAATAACTAACTTAACTTATTTCTTTAATCTTTTTAAATTAGTCAACTAATTTTTATAATTAAGACCGGAGGTAGTATCAATATATTAATATGTTAATAATTCTATAATAAATTCTACAAGAATTTATATTATGTTTTGTTTATGTTATGAATAATATATCTTATTTTTAAAACTAATATGACTGTTCTCAGTTGTGACTCTGCCACATAGATTTTTTAACCAATACCATGCATGGGACTATCTCGGAACATATTTAGACCGGTCAAAATAAAAAAAATAATAATCAATATCAATACATAAAAGATTATAATAAAATTTATATGAAGTTGACAATATTTTTTTTCACCTCATACAATATATAAAGAAACGAGTCTGGTTAATATTAATATCAATGACATTATCATCAATATCTATATCATTAATATCAATATCGTGCTCTGGCCCAAAAAAAAAAAATTCAATATCGTGCATGTCAGCCTTTACTAGTTTTTTTTTTAAAGTAATTAATGAGCTTTACTAGTTACAAACCATTTATTTGGCAAATTTTATCCCACGAATGGACCGCAGGGAGCTCAGAGGCTTCCGGATAAAAAGATAAAGGGCGAATGAATCTCTTCGCATCTCTGGCTGATGTGTAAACATACGTGGCAAGAAGCGTCTGACTTGGCTACTCGTGAACACACGATCCTGACCAGCACTTGCCACGTCAGCAATCCAGATTGCTACTTCATCTTCATCCCATTTTACACAGCACTGCTTTCTTCATCTGTTCATCACACAATTGATGGGATCAATGAAGATCCTCAACAGTCAAGAACAAGAATAATTGACCGTACATGATTACCCCCCCCCCCCCCCCAAAAAAAAGAATAATTGATTACCAGAAGTAATACAATGAGACTGTCCGGAGTAAAATGGGGACCTCTTATGGTCCTTTGAAATGATAGGGGCAATTCATTAAAAAGAAATTAAACGATAAAAACCTAATTGAAGGGTTAATAAACTTTTTTTGCTTTTTCTATTTTTCTTGTTTGTCTCTTTTAGCTATTAATTTTGTAGTTTTCTTATGTGTTAACACATTATTTTATTACTCTACTTTCCCTTTTTTCCAGCTATTATTTTATTACTTTCCAAACAAGGTCTAACACACTAGCACAGCTTTTTTTTTTTTGGCCCCCTTTTTTGGTCTGAGGTTTAATACATTGTACATTCCCCATACTTGCTTTTGGCTTTTGAATTCAAAATAAATATCTCTGTCCAGAAAAAAGAGCATGAATATAGAATAAACAAAATTAAATGTAAAAAACTCAGGATGACAGAAAATTATAAACTTAAATTGTGATACAATTTATTAAAATTTTGCTTACTTAAGTCATAGACATGTGGGTTTCTTACATTGGGTATTATTGGATGCGCATGACCAGGCATTTGCCTTTTGCCCCTTCTGATAATAACCGTACATTTCAATGTTGCATAAGAGCCCCACTAAGCTAAGATTAATTTTCTTAAATAAAAAAAAAAAAACAAACAAACAACAAGCCAAAAAATAGAAAAAACCATTCTCTCTCTCCGGCATCGTGGTTGTGGATGTGGAGCTCGCTTCTTCTTCTCCGGTTTGCATGAGTTTCCACCACCGCTACAGGCGACAAAGACTCCGGTGACAACCGCAACCATGCCCACCACTTCAGCATCCTCCATCACCACACCACCCGTTTCCTCCACCACATCCGATCCCATCCTCGACCGCCTCGCCTCCAGTGATTGCGAAATCAAGCTCAAATCTATCAGAGAGGTAAAGAACAAGATCATCGGCAACCGAACCAAGAAGCTCTCCTACATCAAGCTCGGTACAGTCCCCGTTGTCGCTTCTGTTCTTGCCGAAGCTGACGCCAATTCCGATTCTGGCGCCAACCTCATTGTCCAGTCCGCGGCGGTGCTCGGCAGCTTTGCCTGTGGCGTTGACGCTGGCGTACGTGCTGTGCTTGACACCGGCGTTCTACCTCGTTTATTCAATCTCCTCTCTGCTGCCGACGAGAAGGTGAACTCAATTAATTGTAACCGTCCTTTAATGGTCTCGTTTGTTAGAGGTTGGTGCTTAAATATAAGTGTGATGCTCTGAACAGGTTGGTTGATCACTAGTTTGCGATCAGAGAAATTCGTTAAAAATTATATTATGAAATGTGGATTATTTGATCCGCAGTCTGTTGAGTGTCCTTTGTTCGAAAGAGTTTGTATTGCTTGAGTGTCCTCTGTACGACCTTAGAAATGAAATCCACCTGCGTTTTTGTTTCGTTTCAAATCGAAGTTTTCATCTTACTTGTTCGGTGGGTCTGTGTTACGGTCGTTGCTAAATGCATATGGAATCACCTCTTCGGATATACTTATGGTTTTAATAATAAACAATTTTCCCATTCAGTTCTTGCTGATATAGGAAGTCTTGTTCGTAATAAAATTCTTTATTGTTACCGCTTGCATCGTTCTTCTCAATTTAATTAATTGTAATGTGAACTGGTCTTCACAGGAATCAAGTCTTTCAATTGATGATTGCTTTGTGCTTCTAAGATGAATGCCTTTCAATATATTCTTTCAAGTACATGGTAGGAACACTTATCTGTACCACTTAATTGTGGAACAGGGGGAAAAAACCTTATATTCCTTGCTTTATAACAAGCTGGAAACTAGGGAAATCCATGTAGAGGCATCACCGAAGAGGAAAAAGTATAGAGGAGGCAGAAATTTAAAGGGTTGAGAGCTGCAATTTTTATTTGGAGCTTATTTGGATAATAAATCAAATGGGAATCAGTTGTTCTTCATCCATAATTTATATTTTGCCCTTATGTGTAACATTTTAAATTCAAAATTATATTTCAACTGGTAGGTCTTTGCTTCATTTATTTGAGGCCGCAGAGCATGTGTGCCTTTGACAATGCAAGTTCATTCTAATTTTCACTGTTTTTTAATCAATTATGTCTTGTGTGGGGACTGAGTAACATATCATTTTAGGATAGTGGAAGCTCTGACCTGTCCGCTTGCTCTCCTCCCTCTTCCTTTCCCTATAGCAAATATTACTAAATTGTATTACTTTTTTCTTTTTTTTGGTGATATAAATTGTATTGCTTTAGTCTCTACTTCATTTGGTTTTAATCCCTGCTAAGCTCATCCTTAGCTTGGGAATTGATGGGTCTAATTCTTGTGGAATTCACATGCCTTCTAGCCACAAATACTTCATAAAATTTAAAAAGTCAGTGATATTATTGTCAATTAGCTAGTACTATACTGGCCAAATAGGATCGTTATGAACTAGTGCTTCTAATGCATTTTAGCTTCTGATGCTATTTCATATTTCTGGCATTATCTTCCTAGTTTGTGACTTTTGCAGGCAATATTGCATATTTCAACTTGTTGCCGACAGTGTATCATACATTTTATGTGTTCAGTGCTGTCTGTAAACTATACATGATGCATAAATTATAGCTGAATGTAATCATGCTAATTTTCATCCACTGAGCTTCATCAGTTATAAATTTCTATTATTACTTTTTGGTTCTAGGACAAGCAGACTGAGGAAGAAAATGAGTTTATCATTTTCCTCCTTTAAAGAGGTTCGTAGGTGAAAACAAGATACATCTGCCTTGATCCTTGATAGTATATTACTGTCAACTATGTGCACCCTCTCTATTCCTGTTTTCAACTGCATATTGTTTCTGAATGTGATATGATAGCCATTTTCCTCTTTGTTCCAGGTTGTAGATGCCACTGCACGTTCTCTACGAATGATTTATCAATCGAAACTAGCTCCAAAATGTGATTTTTTTCTAGAGAAAAACAGGGAATTTCTTCTTTCCCTATTGAAAAATGAGAACGAAAATCTCACAGTGCTAGGTGCAAGCATTGTTATTCATTCTTGTGAGACAAGCGAAGAGCAAAATATTTTGTGCTATGCTGGTGTTTTGGAGAAAATTATTGGCCTTCTTGATGGTTCTCTAAGTCAGCGAGATGCTTGTTTAGAGTCCCTAGCTACAATTCTTAAAAACAATCCTGAAGCTGTCTCTAAATTTATGGCCCATCATGGTGGACGAGCTCTAAACTCCATTATTGAGTTGACCAAGGATAGATATTCTCGGACAAGGTTACTTGCCTGCTTGTGCTTGATTTGTGTTAAGAATTCTTCTTCTTGCCATCTGCAAGACTTAGGAATTAAGACTAAATTGGTGTATATTTTGCTTGAGCTTCTTGATGATCCTGGTCAAGTTGGAGATGAAGCTTCCTTAGCTTTCTCTAGTTTAATTGCAGAAAAGGAAGATTTACATAAGCTAGCATTTGAGGCAAATGCTATTGATAAGTTCTACTGCCACTTGCAAAAATCTTCCTCAAATCCCAGACGCCTTGAAGGGATATTTCTTGCCTTGGGTGATCTTTGCTCAAAGTTGGAGTGCTGCCGGTCTAGGTTTCTTACATTGCAGGTCCGTTGTTCCCTGGAGACTATTTATCAAAATAATCCTAGGTCTCATATATTTGCTGGATGTGACCACATGGTGGAAATTACTCATTAAAACTCTAGCCAGTCATCTCTACAGCGGATCTTGATGTTTCAGCATGAGTCTTG